TCGGGAGTCTTAAGTCCTTAGGGGCCCGGGTTCGATTCCCGACCGAGGCGGAAACAAATAAGGAGAGTTTCTTTCACCTTGATGTTCCTGTTCACCTAGCAGTAAATAGGTACCAGGGAGTTAGACAGCTGCTACGGAGCTACTTCCTGGGGGATGTGTGTATGTGTGTGTTAGAGAGAAATATATATGTACTAGATATAACAAAAGAAAAAATATAGATGGTTAGAAAGTCGGGATCCAAGAGCTAAGAGCTTCTGCAGGCACAAATAGTAAATACACACACGCGAATGTATACAATACATGTATAATGTATAACATGCGAATGTATAAAATACATTCGCGCATGCTCAGTAGCAACAGGACCCAGTAATCATACGTATACATATTCAGTCACACATAGGCACCACGGGGCTATGTATACATATACTACGTATATGTATACACCCATAGGTAGGCCGGCCATTATTCATCGCTTGAATGACCTTTTCATACACCCCATTTTTTTTCTTTCTCTTTCCCTCCCCTTTTCCCTTACCCCTTAGCTCCTTTTCACCGCCTCCACAGCACCTTTCATCTACCCTTTTCCCTTTCTGTACCCATTACCCCTCCCTTTTCTTTCTCCTCTGCCCACCCCTTTCTCTTACCCCTTTTACCTCTTCCCTTTCTTCTCTTTACCTCTTACGCCCTTTCCCTACACCTTACCTACTTTCCTTCCCCCTCCCCAAATCCTTTTCATAATCTCTCATCCTCCTTTTCTCTCTCTTCTCAATCATTCTCTCCTCACTAATCCTATTCTTTTTCCTATTTTTTTTCATCTTTATTCCCTCTTCTCATATTCTCCGCCTTCCCTTCACTTTCGTAGCTATTCCGTAGCACGGGTTATGGTCGGGCCTTAGCTCTTGGACCCTGCCATTCCATCCGCTGGATGTTAAATGCAATGACAACCACTTGAGCTGGACGGTAGAGCGACGGTCTTGCTTCATGCAGGTCGGTGTTCAATCCCCTCGACCGTCCATAAGTGGTTGGGGTACCATTCCTTCTACACCCCGTCCCATCCCAAATCCTTATCCTAACCCAGTGCTATATTGTCGTAATGGCTGAGCGCTTTCCCCCTGATAATTCCTTCCTTCAGACCTATTTTTCTATCATATCTAATAAAATTTTGAATGGAGTTTGGATCTGTAAGCTGTTACTTTGGTTCATTCCATTTTTCTCAGTAATCTTATGCTATAAGAACACTCTCTAGCACTCTAGAGAGAGAGTGCTCTCACTCCACTCTCTAGCATCTCTTTGAATCTTAAAAGAGTCTCAAGCCTCCATCTCTGCCCTCTGGTTCAATTGTCATTGTGAACATTTGCTCTTTTTCCACTGTCAATCCCCGTAAGTATTTTATATGTCTCTATCATGTCTCTCTCTCTTTCTCTCCTCTATTTTAGCGTCGTCAGGTTTATTTCTTTCAGTCTCTCTTCATACTCCTATTCCTCGCAATTCTGGGACGAGCCTCGTCGTAATCTTCTAAACCATTTCGAGTTTTTTTATGCATTTTGTTTAAGATGGTGGCGGCATACTCTACTGCTGGTCTCACGTAGGTTGTGTACAGCGATTTAATAGTTGTTAGCGTAGTTTGAGCCGTCAGAGCCTCTTTACTAGCAGTAAATAGGTACCAGGGAGTTAGACAGCTGCTACGGAGCTGCTTCCTGGGGGATGTGTGTATGTGTGTGTTAAGAGAAATATATGTAGGTGGTGGGCCTACGGAGGTAGGCCTCCGTAGTTAGGTTAGGTGTCGTTGTAAGGAGGTAGTTTCCTCGTGTGCTGTCCTCTTCAGTCTCCTGGCGCCTAATGTTGTATAACCAAATATAACCAACTTATAATTTGCCGGTACAACAGTTTGGGCGCGTGTTACTGGAGTGACGCCATCGGCAGCACTACCAGGCGTAGGTTATGTTTACTTCAGCAAGTCACACTGTTAAACTAAGCCTATTGTAAGCTAATCTATCCTCCCCCCCCCCCTCCAAATGAATAAACCTAACCTAACCTAACCTAACCTAACCTAACCTAACCTAACCTAACCTAACCTAACCTAACCTAAATATTCTGACCAAAACGAAACAAATTTAGCCTAGCCTCTCCAGAGCATAACATATATATATATATATATATATATATATATATATATATATATATATATATATATATATATATATATATATATATATATATATATATATATACATGGACATTATTATGCTGTTATTATAATGCTTTTATAGCTGTTATCGTAATTAATCTTCCTATCAGTTTGATACGAGTTTCTGAATCAGATTACCGATATCTATTATGAAAAGCACAAATATCAACGCAAAAAAAAAAATAAACAAATAAAAATCGCGTATAGATCAACATCACGTCCAAAAAATATATAAATTAAAACTCACGTTTTATAAAACGCAATTACGTTCAAATTTAAATAGTTAAAAAAAAAATATATATTTCAAATTCAAACCACGTTTAAATTACAATCAACCTTTTAAATTTAAATCAAGTTCAAATTTTTAAATCGATATTCAAATCCAAATTACGTTATAAATCAAATCTAGTCCTTTGTTCCAATCACTTTCAAAATAAATATAACCTCCAAATTCCAATCACCTTCAAATTCCAATCACCTTCAAATTCAAATCACCTACAAATTCAAATCACCTTCAAATTCAAATTAGACCCAAATGGAAATTTAGCATTCTAAAAATTTAAAAAATTAAATAAAAAAACCGTTGAAGCTTCCCTGTACCGGTTTAAAACGTATTCCAACTGTCACCTCGTTACGGAGTTGAATTCTAATGAGGTGTTTTTGGCAAGGCGTTGAATTCTACAACAAAATGTGTTTGTTACAGAGATTCGGAGAGGAGGGGGGGGGATGGTGTTATTGTTGTAGTTATTGTTCTCGATTGGTGTTATTGTTCTCTATAGTGTTCTTGTTCTTGGTGTTATTGTTCGTGGTGTTATTGTTCTCTATAGTGTTCTTGTTCTTGGTGTTATTGTTCGTGGTGTTATTGT